TGTCAGTACTGCCCGAAGCAGTACATAGATTCAGTGCCATCCTTATCAAAATCCTAATGGTATTTTTTGCCAAAACAGGAACTCCATCCTAAAACTAATATGAAATCTCAGGGGTCCCAAATAGCCAAAACAATTTTGAAAAAGAAGAAAGAAGCTGAAGGTCTCAAACTTGCTGATGTTAAAATTTACTGCAGAGGTACAGTCAAACCAGTGTGGTGCTGGCGCGAAGATAGAAAAGAAGGGCAAGATCATTCAGTGGAGAGGAGAAGTCTTCAGCTACGGTGCTAGGCAGACTGGATGTCCACACCGAAAAGAAAGAGCTTGGACTCTGATACCATTGATAAAAATTAACTCAGATGGACCAAAGACCTAAACATAAGAGACAAAACTAAAATTCTTAGGACAAGACATAGAAGAAAAGCTTCATGACACTGGATTTGGTATTAATGTATTGAACATGATAACGAAAGGAGAAAATGATACGTTGGACTATAAAATTTAAAAATCTTTGTGCATCAAAGAATGTGATCCAAGCCATGCGTGGTAGAGCCCAGCCTGTAATCCCAGCACTCAGGAGGCCAAAGGAGGAAGATTGAGGCTAGCCTGGGCTACATAGTGAGTTCAAGCCCAGCCTGAACAACGTAGCAAGACCTTGTCTCAAAAAACAAAAACAAAACAGAAAACAATCCAAAGAATGAAAAGACAGCCCATGGAATGGGAGAAAATACTTTTACAAATCATTTATCTTATAAGGAGTTACTATCTAGAATATATAAAGAACTCCTACAATTCAGTAACAACCAAAAAAAAAAATGAAGAAATAGGCAAAGGAACCATTAGCTACTTCTCTAAAGAAGGTATACACATGACCAGGAAAAGATGCTTAGCGTCACTAATCATTAAGAAAGGCAAATGAAAATCATAGTAAACTCTCACTTCACACTCATTGGGATGAATAATAATTTTAAAGAGAGCCCTGGTAAGGGCTGGGGATTTACCTCAGTGGTTCTGCCACTTGCCTTGCAAGTGCCAGGACCAAAGTTCGATCCCTGGTACCTAAAAAAAGAGCTTTGGTAGATATGTCAGATGTATCCATTGGGGAAAAAGACCTGGCGATCCCTTGAAATACTAAATGTGAATTTAATGTGATCCAGTCATTCCACTCTGGCTTCATACCCAAAAGAATTGAAAACAGACTCAAACATACTGTACACCCATGTTCATAGCAGCGTGATTCATAGTAGCCAAAAGATAGAAGTAGCCTGAGTCCATCTGCAGATGCATGGGTAAGTAGACCATGGTGTACATACACAATGGAGTATCATTCAGTGGAATAGTATACAGGAGGGCATTCTGGGGACATCCGTAAGGATAAACCTTGAAGATCTACAGCAAAGCAAAATACACTGGTTACACAAACACAGACACTTTTATGATTCCTCTTTTATTTGAGATACAAAGAATAATCAAAATTATAGTGACAGAAAGCAGAATAGTGGTTCCCAGGGGCTGGAGGAAGGAGAAATGGAGAGTAGCCATCCAGAGAGTAGCGTTTCCTTTTTGCAAGTTTAAGAGTTTTAGAGATTAGTTAAGTAAAAATACTTAACTCGCTGAACTATACACTTAAAATGATTAAGATGATGGCCAGGCACACCTATAATCCTAGCGCTTGGGAAGCTGAGGCGGGAGAATTGCCACAAGTTTGAGGCCAGCTGGGGCTACATAGCAAGACCTTATCTCAAAACAACAATAAAATAAAGATTGAGATGGCAGAGTTTGTGGGACTTTTACTTCAATTCCAGGATATTTTAATTTCCAGAAAGATAATATGAAGATGTTTGTGGTAGCACATGCCTGTAATCCCAGCATTTGGGAGGCTGAGGCAAGGAGATTGCAAGGTTTAAGCTGGCCTAGGCAACATAGTGAATTAAAGGCCAAACTGAGCCATTTAGCCAGACCCTTTCTCAAAAAATAATGTAAAATATGATAACAAGGTGCTGCAGGGTTTATAGAATATGTGTAAGCAAAATGGCACAGAGGCCAAAGGGGATGAAATCCAGGTGTACTATGAGAGGCCCTTGCACTATAGCATGTACAATTACTTGGCCTTCAACTGTGATTGAAGATGAATATATTATCCCTAAAGCAACTAGTCAAATAACAAAAGGTTATAACTGTAGCCAACAAAGGAGATGAGTGGAGCCATTAAAAATTCTCAACCCAAAAAGGAAAAAAAGAGAAAAATAAATAGAATTTAAAGAAACACAGTAGAATAGAAAAGAGACACCAAGCAGATAGACTTAAACATAACCTTACCACTACCTCTATATATGGTCTTAATACCCCTATTGGAAGCAGAAATTAAGAGATTAGATAAAGGAGCTATGGATATAGCTCAGTGGTAGAACACTGTGGAACATGTTTGGGGACCTGCACTCCATACCCAGCACAGCAAATAAATAAATAAATTTTAAAAAATATATATATGTACATAAACAAATAAATACAAATAGGTTAAAAGGATGGGGAGCAGCACCATACTACACAAATTAAGGTAAAGTTAGTGTGGCTACATGAATACCAGAGTAGATGTGAGAGCAGAGCTGTCGCCAGGGGTAAAAATCACTTCTTAATAAAACGGCCACTTTACCAAGAGGATATTATAGTCCCAAATGTTTACACACCTCAGTAACAGTGGTTCAGAAACATAAAGTGAGAACTGATAGAACGGCAGGGAGAAATAAACCCACAGTTACAGTCAGTTTTCAATTCCACCTTCTCAGTATTTGGAAGAATTTGTAGACAGAAAAATCAGTAAGTACATAAGCCTTGAACAACATAATCAACTAATTTGACCTGCTTGACACTTATAGAAAACTCCTTTCAGTAAAAACACAATACACATTGTTTTGAAGTGTATTCTAGACCATAAAACAAGTCGCAAAAAATTTAAAGTATTCAAATTCCCTCAAAATATATTCTCTGGCCACTTAAAATTAAGAAGTCAGTAACAAGAAGCTCTCTGGAAAACCTCCAAACATTTGGAAATTAACTTCTAAATAATCCATGGGACAAAGAAGAAATCAAAAGGGAAATTAGAAAACCATTTTGGTAAATAAAAATGTATTAAAATTTAGAAGATACTACTAACCCAGTATATGAAAATAAAAGTGTAGACTTAAGATTCATGGTATTTTAAAGTGTGATTACGTGTCAAAGTGTGTCATTTACCTGTATGCAGTTTACATCAGTTAATCTCCATAAAGCTATTTAAAAAGAATTATAGGACTCATGAATTAAAAGAGGCTTGAGAGACATAGGACCCAAATGGCAGTGTTCAGACCGGTACCCTAATTCAAAGAAGCCAGCAAACGAAAGACATTCTGAAGCCAGATGTGTGGTGGCACACATCTGTAATCCTAGCTTTCTGAGAGGCTGAAGCAGGAGGATCACAAGATTGAGCCAGCTTGGGCAACTTGGCAGCTTGGTAAGACCATGTTTCAAAATAAAATATTTTTAAAAGGACTTAAGGATGTAGCTCAGTGTGGGTTCAATTCCCAGTACCCGGGAAAGAAAAGGAAGGAAAGGGCAAGGGAACAGGGATTTAGCTCAGTGGCCCCGAGCCTGCCTCTCAAATGCAAGGACCAGAGTTCCCTGGTACAGAGAGAGAGGGAGGGAGAGGGATTCATTCTGTAGACAGGTAGAGAAATTGTACAGCCTGAATAAGAGACAGTGTTGAGTAATTGATGTTAAGTTGTAGTCGATAAGCCAGTGGCATCAGACAGATGAAAAATATAGATGATACATTGATCATTGAAGTTGGATGGTAGGTACATGAGTGTTCATTAAATTACTCTTGTGTATTTTTAAATTTCACCTAAAACTTTATGTTTTTGTGATTTTTGAAAATCTTTCTCAGGAAATCTAAGCTCTCCCTTGTTTTAGTGCCAGCCTTACTCCTTCAGCTTCAGTATCTGCCTCTGCTCACAAAGTTTTAAGATCTAGTTGTGTCTAGAATGACCTTTTGCCCCTTTGTGCCTAGGACAATCTTAGTTTGAACCTGCCGTTACAGTGCAGACCCTAACTGTATAATAGGTGCTCACCGGGAATGTTGAGGTGTACTTTCCTTCGCATAGCTGTGCTTCACATTTGCCTTTGCCAGGTAGTTCCTTTGTTCAGAATCCCTGTTCCTAACCCTGTGTTCTTCCTCATCAAACACCTTCCTACACAGTTGTCCCAGTCTTAGCTCTGGCTAATTTCTGGAAAGACTTGGTGACATTCCTCCTCTGTCCTGCCCTCCCCTCTCTCCACATGAAGTTGCCTCCTTTTACTGCCACTCCGCCCAGGACGGGCTTTCTTGTAAGTTAAATTAAAATGTGTTTACTGGTCTTCCCTCAGTTCAGAAAGCTTTTTGAGATTAGGAGCTCACTGTCTTTTCACCTCTGGGATGTTGGCCTATCTGGCAGAATGTTTGATATATCCCATTTAGGGATGAGCTAACTCAGAAAAACTCAGCCCTGAAATGGTAAATGTTCTTTCCTTGGGTAACAGAGCAGAGTAGTAACATACCCACACGTAGAGCCCATAACTGCATCTTTTCTCACACCTGATGCTGTGATAAGGGCTCAGGGAGCATTGGAGGTTTCTTCTGCTAAGACACTTTGTACCCCTAACAGTGATCATCCACACAGCACAGTCTGAAAGCTGTTAGAGTGGGGAATGGTAGCAGCTCCGGAGTACACAAGAAATAGACCGTGTTAATGCTGAAATACCTCACATTTATCACATGCAAAGTACATAAGTGATTGTGGTACCTGCCTTTTTCACTGCAAGAATGTTGAATAAATGGTACAGCTGCCAGTTTCTCTAATTGTTTTTGGAATCCTCTTATATGTTACAGATAAGGTATTAGGGACTTTATACCTTTAATTATTTAAAAATGAAGACCATGATTCATAGATCTTAACACTTAATGTCTATTTTTATTTGCCATTTCATAGCGTCGCCTTGGAGATGCAGCCAAGAAAGCCATCAGTAAATTGACAACCAGAACAGTAAAAAAGGGTGATAAGGTACAGTAATGAAATAACTTCACCCCCTCTCTGAAGCTTCATTCTTGCTTTGCTTGTCATTGGGAAGCCCTTCAGCTAGCCCTCTCACTTTCCTCGACTTCAGATGTACTTGCCACTATAAGTGTGAAGAGTCTGCTTAGCAGCTATGGTTTTCTACAGGCTTTTACCGAAACCTAGCATACGTCTTCCAAAAATTCTACTTTGTACATTAAATAGCTAGGAGCTGTGTGCATCTTCATATTTCTTATGACTTTGTGTCTGTTTGGGGTTTAGTTCTTCACTAGTTAAGTGGAGAACTGAAAACCTACATTTCTAGAGTGCTTCACTTAACAGGGTGCTCTCTCTAGATAGGCTAAGCAGCTTGAAAGAAGAAGAGCACCGTTTGTCCGGGTTGGGCCCAGTGCTTGGGGGATAAGTCTGAGAGGCAATGACAAAAGGCATGGCTAAGACCTTTAACCAGAATTCCCCAGTCAGAGGCCAGGCCCTGCTTCTTTGTAAGCAAAAACAACACCTTAATATTAGACCCTACGTTCAGCACACGCAAGATTCTTGTTACCAGAATGAAAAGATTACATCTCTGAGTCTGCTTCCTGCCCATATTGCTGATGTGTTAGCAAAGAGCGCTGGGAGGAGGATTTCAGAAGATTCTCCATCTTCCTAAGTTTTCCCACTGTCTTGGACTTGACCCCTTTTTATTCCCATTACTTGGATACCACCATACCTACTTGTCCTTGACACAGCCCCAGAGGAAGAGACTTTCTCTTAGTACATAAAGAAAGAAAAAGAAAATACAGGGGCCGGGGATTTAGCTCAGTGGTTCCGCTGCCTGCCTCGAAAGTGGAAGGACCCGAGTTCGATCCCCGGTACTAAAAAAAGAAAAAGAAAACAGAAGCAGCATCAAAACAGCTTCACTTATCTCCAGAGGGGTGGTAACCAGTGTAAATGTTTCCTCGGCCTTTGCCTGATACACTGTAATTGGAACTTCCCTGAAGCTACCTAACCTACCCATCTTCCTTTGTCCCCCAGGGTAGCACAAAATGATCCTCCTTTTAATTATTAAAGCCAACACATCTTCTTAGTTTGCACCCCCAGACCTGCCAAGAACTGTCCCACTGAGTTTCGTTCCAAGTGGCAGTGACACAGCAAATAGTCTCACCTTTCCTGCTTAGGCTGCTGACATGCCCTGTTTAATGACAGCTCTGTTGGGATCCCCTCAGCTCTTGGAGAAAGAAAATTAATTAACCTGGTGGTCAAACATCTGACTGACTTGCCCTGACTTTTGGTAAAGACCACATGCTAAGTTGAGATTGCCACCCATCTTCCTTTAAATCTGCAACCGCATGCAGAGTTCCTGTTCCTGGGGCAGTCCCTGGACAGCAGCCTGCTGAGCACCATCATTCGTGGCTGTGCTTGGGGAGGGGATCGAGTGAGCCTCCTGATGAAGACCCGGGTTGTATAGGGTACACAGTAAAGACTATTCACAAACCCGTTATGCAGTGGAGATGGAGGATAGGAGCCTAAGGACAAGCCAGGGTGATATAGTTAGTGCAAATCTTGAAAAACATTAAAACTGTGGGTTGAAAATTCTGAGGCATCTCATAAACAGAATTATCATCGATTATTACAACATAATTTCAAGACAAAGTAGATTGGCTTAGATAGAATTTGGATCACCATAGTTGAGCAAAGGAAAGCTTAAGTTACTCTAATAGCTTTCACTTCATGAGTATTTGCTTAGCAGTAGTTGCCACAGGAACATTGTCAGCTGAACCGTCCCCTCCATTTGTGCAGGTGTAGCGTGTGACTTGTGCTCCTGTGCTCTTCTTTTTAGGAAACAGACCCAGACTTTGATCATTGTGCAGTCTGCATAGAGAGCTATAAACAGAATGATGTTGTTCGGATTCTCCCCTGCAAGTATGTGAGCTTTCTTTATTTGAAAAGAATGACATGAGTGTGTTTCGTCTCCCTTGAGAGCAGGTGTCCACTTGCTTCTGACAGCCACCTGGCCCAGGCTGTTCTGGCAGCCACAGCCACTGCACACAGCTCACCGTGGAGGCCGTGGTCACCAGTGAACAGTGCTGCTTCACAGGGACTGTGTGTGCATATGTAGAGAAGCACACGGGCCGTGGTCATTAGATGCTTGTAACTCAGGAGTTCTGTTCTAGGATTACTGTGGGTTTCAAAAACAGGCTTCTGTTCATCTTCAGAGTTCATCACTGGGCCTCTGACGAGACTTCTGCAGAATTTACCAGGCTGTGGGTACCATGGCTCTAGGGACTTGGACAAAGTCTTGTCTTTTCTTTTCTTTGCTGGACTAAGTCTTTTCCTGAAGCTGGCCATGCAGCATGGGGAAGACTGATCCCTCCTCTGTGCTGCTCCAAGTCAGAGCAAATCATACTCACTGTCTTCCGCAACGCCCCCACGCCTGATAATGTGAAGAGGGTGTTTCTCTCCCATTTGTATTAGCTTTTTACTACCTTAACAAAATCTCTGAGGCAGGCTACTTAGGATGAGAAAGGGGTTTGTTTTGCTCACAATACTGCGGGAGGCTCAAAGTCCACAACCAGGGATCAGCCAGGGCCAGATTGGTTTGACCTTTGAGGAGGACAGCAGATGTCACATCCTAGTGGCTGTCCATGAGAGCAAAGCAGTCAGAAAGAGAGAGGCCAGGCAGGCCAGGCTTGCTTCTTTTCTAACAACCCTCTTCGAGAACCACCAAAGAAGCCCCACAGGAAATACCTCACACCCTAGTAGCCTAAGGACTTCCCACTAAGCCCCATCCCTCAAAAGTGTCACCATCTGCCAGCAGCACCCTTGGAACCAAGCCTTTAATCAGCGTGGATGCTTGAGGAACACAGTCAGAAGTAGCAGAGCCAATAGAAAGGTCTGCCATTAATACCAGCCCTTCTTCCATGGGTACAGACCTCCCTCCAGGAGTGTGCATGGCAACTTTGGTGCCTAAAAGGAGCACATTTTCTTTAGAAGCATATTGATTTCTACCATGGTCCTATACCAGGGTAGGGAATATGAAATATTAAGACACACAATTCTATCAATTGGAAAAAAGTAAAGTCACTACTGAGAAACCTAAAACCAAAGACTTTTTCTTTGTTTTCTTCTCTCTTCTTTAAAAGGGATCCACTTAACTCAGCCTTCTAATAATACAGTGTTGGGCCGGGGGTATAGTTCAGCACTAGAATACAAGTCTCCGGATTCAACCCTCAGTATCACAAACACTCCCACAGAAAAATACTGCGCATGTGGGTAAATAAAATAATAGTAGTTGTCTATAAATGAGTCTTATTTTACTTATTTGCAAAGTAATCTATTTTGAGCCTAGGAAAATCTGTTTTGGTTTTTTGTTTGCTTTTAATCATAGGACTTAAGAATTTTATATCTTGAAACAAATACAAGATTCTGGAGGTCAAGTCATTCTAGTTTACATTCAGAGAAAATCTACCAAACTAATTGTCAGCTGTCTTATAGAAAATTAAATTATATAATGACCAGTTTTTCCTCATTTGTATTCATTTACAACCTTTAAAACGTGAGGCTAAAGGAAACACATATACACATATAAATTAGGAAAATGACCAGTGGGCTGTGTTACAAAGAGTAATTAGCAAATGCATCCTTTGATCAGAAGGAAACCAAAACTTTACAGTTTGTTTGTCTTGTCCCTCAGCCTCAGATCCTCTGGAACCATCTAGTACTAAAGTGGGGGAGCCATTCCTGGGTAGTACTAAAATGAGAGTCCTTTGCTCAGGGGAGTCTCAGCCTACAATGGACTCCGGAAGGCTTGCAGTAGTTCTCTTCATCCCTCAAGCCTTGGCTTTTCCAGAGTTTCGTTCTAAGCGTTTTTGGGTTTTTTTCCCCTCAGTTTAACTCAGAGCTGTCCAAATCTGACCATGCATCAGGATGAGTGAGGGGCTGTCAGAAACACACCCCAGTGGACCCTGGCGTATTGAACGAGTTCCTGAGTGACTCTGATGTTGCAAGGCCACACCCTGCAATGAGTCCAGACCCTTGGTTGATTGAAACTGTTTCTGTGGATGAAAGCAGAGAATGCCTCTCGGCCTTCGTGTTTGAATATCAGAGACTTTGGCAAACTTAGACTTTCTTTGAGCCCCTAGTCACAGCCTTGTTCATTGGGCTGTCGTTGTCCTTGCCTTTGATAAGGCATGCTTGCTTCCCTGTCAGACGTTTCCTCCGTGCTTTATTATTCTTACTCTCAAGTCCCAGCAAGTCACAGCTTTCTCTAAACTATCGCTTAACTTGCTTAGCAAAACCTCAGATGCAGTAAAAATTAACTTTCCACATTGAGCAACATTTTTGACAACCTTTGTCCTACAGCATAGTTCTCAGCCTTGGCACTGTGAAGATTTGGGAGTAGGAGGAACCGTCCTGTGGACAGGATATTTATCAGTATCTTTGGCCTCTGCCTACTAGATGCCAAAAGCACCTACACCACACAGTTACGACAACCCAAAGCCTCTAGATGAGAACCACTGACCTAGAGGACATCCACACAGATGTTCTTTACCCCGTATCTCCAAGTGTGTTCCTTTGGACGCCTCTCAAGTACCTTTGCATTAACTCTTTCCCTCTCCTGCTGCCTAGTAATTAGGCTTTCTGTCTAGGATACCCCGCCCTTCCTCTTTTGTCTGCCACAGTCTGAGTCCCCGCCTACCGCAGCTTCCTGGATCTCCCTTAACTAAGTAGCTCCGCCCCTCACTGTCTTTCCATGGGCCTCTGAACTGGCTAGACAGTCTGGGCCTGTAGTGCTGCCCAAGCCCTTCGATCCCGGCTGGCTCTCTGTTCAGCTCTTCCAGGTGTATTTATTCTCCTTAAACACCTTAACTCACTGCATTATTCCTCCCTCTTGGCAGAGCCAACTTCATAAAGAAAGTAACAGGCAGAATCCCCTTGCCTCCTGTCCCCAGGCCTTCAGGTGTGATTGCCTTCTCACCCAACAAGGCATCTCCTGCCAGGATGGTGGAGGCAGTACCCTCTATTCTGGTGCTGTGCTTTTTCCATGGACCTCTGCCAGCTCTTTCCCTTCCCAGGGACCTTGCTCTATTCATTCTCTGCCCCTTCCAGTTTTGTTCTTCTGTCCCTGCTCATCAGCATTTAATCATGCTCAAGCATTTCCTATTCTAGTTTTTAAAACTCTCAAACCATCACCCTCAGCACACCACACTGCAGTTCTGCCCTTCATAGCCAGCCTTTGGCAAGGTCTAGACTTACTGTCTCTCCTTCACCCCTTAAGGGACAGAGAAAGCCAGATGCCTTGTATGTGTCTGTCCTTCATCCTTAACAAGCCCACCACGGGAACTGAACTAAGCTTTTCCATCTATATATATCAGGCCTCTTGTGGGTTGCTGACTTTTTGTAGCATGACCTTTGCTTTTTCTCCTCTGTCACACTAATGTATTGTGCACAGATGGCAGTTGGCATTGCTTTGGGGACCTCCTGCTTGTGTCAGTTGATTACAGTTGATCATCCTTTGGATATTAGCCAACATGTCTTAGAAACTGAGAAATAGTCACCTTAAAGGTTAGCCACGAAATTTTTAGTAGATAAAAATACCCTTTCAGAAGTAGAGTGCCCCAGCTTGGATAAACATATGTTTAAGATGCCAGCTTGGGAGCTAAAGTGGGTCAGTCAGCTGGCTGCTGGCTGGCTGAGGAGTTGCTACAAACACCCTCACCTCAGTGGCAGGCCCAGCATCCGTGCCATCTGCCGCCAGTCCAGGTGAGGGAATGGAGTTCTTGTCTCTAACCTTTAATAATCTTGAATCGTTTTGTTTGCCAGGTCCTTGACATGGCACCCGAGACTGCAGAGTTGTGAAAACAACTCATTTTCAGTGTAGACTTCTCAGCCCCCAAACCCCATCTCCGTTTTTCTGACTTCTCTAATTGTGGGCAATAGGAAGGAAGAGGAGCTGTACTTAGGTGTTACTGGTTGTGTTTCTTTCATTGTTCCATATGTTGTGTGTTCTGTATCCCCAAGTATTTCTTTGTTTATTTTTTTATTTTTATTTTTGGTACCAGGGATTGAACTCGGGTCCTTGCGTTTGCGTAGCAGGCAGCGAAACCATTGAGCTAAATCTCCGACCCTCCCCAAGTATTTCTTACAGGAATAAAGGACTTTTTCATTGAAGCTCTGATACACTTGTCCTTTCCACAGTTCCTTGTCCCTCACACATCACCTGCCTTCCATCCCAGTGTATCACTCCGCCCTAGTGTGCTGGGCTCTTTTCCACTTTCATGTGCATTTTATTACTGGAGTCTTTGGTTTTAAGAGTGGGACTGGGCTTCTTTCCATGACATTACTGGCCCCAGGTGCCATGCACAGTGCACCCCTGGCTAGTGAGAAGGCATCCGCTGGGAGTGGCAGGTTCTGATCATTCCTTGGGGCTTCCTATAAAATCTTAACTTCACTTTGCCTGCTTAACGGTTCTTTTCTTTCACACCCCTGGGGACTTTTCTAAGTGTTCCATGTACAGTTTTCATTTTGTTGCTCGGACAGCCTGGTGCAGTAGATCAAGCCCACGTTCTCCACTGCTCCATCCCGCAGTCTTCTAGGTGAGACAGCTGGAAAGCAGACCGTGTGGCTGGCCATGGGCCACGGAGTAGCAGGACTCAGCTACTAGAGAAGGGAGGGAAAGGTCACAGTGGATTTAGTGGGGCCGCAGGGTTGAGCTGGCGGAAACAGGAAGGTGAAGAGGATGGGTGATGAAGACGGGAAGCGCAGTGCCAGGAGCTCACCAAGATGCTCTAAGGCAAGAGGACAGGGCTTTCTGTCGGGGGCTGGTGGGCAGGACACGTACTCAGTGTTGGCTCCAGGAGTGAGGGCTGTCATGTGGCCAGACCACAGGTCTAGGCTAAAAGCACAGGTGGAGCTGGCAGGAACCTGGAGAGACGTGCTGCAGAGAGAGGAAGGGGAGCTGGGAGTCCATTGACAGGGGAAGAGGGTGGGAGCATGGTTTTGTTTTATTTTTATTCGGATGTGTGTAGCATGTAATGATTACATTCACCATGGGGAGTTGCTACATGTACGAAACACAGTAATTCTACTTTCACTTCCCCTGCCCTCCTTCAGGAACATTCTTTTTAGAAGTAGTTCCTTTAGATTTTGAGTTAGCTAAGGAAAAGAGGTTTTCTCAGTTTGGCTCTTAAAAACCAGTTAGTCTTTGTTGTCTTTCATTATAGTACTTGACAGCATAGAGGAGATTGTAATTGTCTAGTGAAACGGAGCAAGGCACTTGTTCTTTACATCAACAAATATAAAATGAAGCAGTTACTTAAGAACATCAGCGTAAAAAAAATCCACTTATAACTGAAGATTAATGGAACAGAGAACATTCAATTCATATAGTGTTAGATATTAAACATGAGAGTTAACACCGTTTTGTACTCTGAGAATAACCAGTAATGGAAAAGCAAAAACGCTGGCCAGAGCCGCCCTTTAAACCTGCTTAAGCCAGGGATTTCACCTCCAGCTGCTCCTGCTCCAGCACCAGAGTGACTGTGGTCAGAGATCACATGACCTCATCTCTTCCCTTGTCACTCAGCCAAGTCCCATTGTCCACCCTGCACAGACAGACCTGACCCAGTGGACTTCCCACCCTCTCCTGGCCCTGGGCAAACCAGAGCTCAGTACACCACCCCCACACACCAGAATGCCACACGACATCTGGAAGACGTGCCCTTGTGACTTCTTGGAGGCAGGTTCTGTAGTTTATGTCAGACCCAAAGGGATCTATCCCCCAAATGGGTTGGGATCAAGCTGTTCAGCATCAGGCAGCCTTGCTATGGTTGACTGCTGCTGGAGAGTAAGCTGAAGGATCCCCGCAGTGAGGATTTCTTAACCCACTCCGGAGCACTCTTGTGTTCAGGCACCAACAGCAAGCAGCAGACATGGCACCTGTGTACTCTGAATGAATTGGGGTCTTGTCTCTGGCTGACGTAAGAGCTCCCTTAAGTAAGAGCCTTCAGGAATGATGAGGTTTTGGGTAAATGCATCATCTGCATGTTTTAGGCCGGATTGATAAACTCAGACTTCAAGATAGATCTTTATTCTTATCCCCAAAGAAATGGGTGAGTTTTCTCAACCTCTTTTTTTTTCAAAGTCAAAACTGCATTTTTCAACCAACAATCAAAGCATTGCATGTTAAATTACAATCAGGGTTTTAAAGGCATACCATGGACCAAGTTGCTTATCTTTCTTAGGAGTCCTTTATCCTGACTGTAGTGTTCCTTCCATTGTGCCTGCATGACTGTGTGGGGTCCACCCCTTCCCAGTTGGCCCAGACTCCAGGCCTCCCATTGGGTTTGGTGGCAGCCCTCAGAGCTCTTGTGCAGGGTGCCTGAGTTTGGAGAGTGATTTCTGCAGCTCCCCTCCACAAAGCGTACAAGTTCTTTTTCTAAGAATGCAGGCTCTTCCTCAGCTGATTTATTTCCCATCACGAGGGTGTGACTTTCTGTTTTCTAGAATTTGAGACGCAGTCACCCACACCTGCCCCTTGAACATGTCAGCTGAAACTTGCTAAGTGTTACTTGATTCTTGGAACTGCCAGTTTACCCCTTTCACCAATTCCAACTGCCTTATAACTTTTACAGACATTAAACAGGTTGAGTTCTGTGAAACCAGGAGTTATATAGAGAACTTTTTTTATTTAACTGTGACTTAGTATCTTTTTGAATTTCCATTTTCACATTAACGGTTATGGAAACCTTAACTGACTTATAAGTTATGATTGTCTTTATTCATAATGAATTTTCTAAGTTTCCTCTAGTCTTTTTGGAATTTTGATAAAGTAAAATGTCCAAGTCGAGCACAATGGACATATCTGTAGTCCCAGCTGCTCAGAAAGCTGAGGCAAGAGAATCCCTGGAGCCAAGAATATGGGGCTAGCCTGGGCACTGTAGTAAGACCCTCCTTGTCATTTTGCCCAACACGCACAAGGCCCTGAGTTCCATCCCCAGCACTATAAAAATAAAGTCCAAACAACCATATCCCACTTACCAGTTCTCATCACAGTGCTGTTAATATATGAGATTGAGTTCAGAAGGTTTTTCCACAAATTGTACTTTAATCCTCCCATTTGTCTCTTGCAACTTAAAACTAAATGCCAAAATGAGGAAAAACAGACTAAAAATTCTATTTTTTTGCATTTTGCCCTCATAAGTTTTCAGTATATAATTGATGACATGATTCTCCATTATTTTACAGGCACGTTTTCCACAAATCTTGTGTGGATCCCTGGCTTAGTGAACATTGTACCTGTCCTATGTGCAAACTTAATATTTTGAAGGCCCTGGGAATTGTGGTATGTTTCCTATTTCATTGCTACTTTTACGTATTATTATATCTAAGTATAATACAATATAACACAAGTGTAATACAGTATAACACAACTGGTATGGTAGGAGACATGATTTAGTGACACTGAAATACACTGGCTCTCTTTGCCATAGAACTTTGTTAGTCCATCTGCCTTTTTCCAGATTATTTCAAAGTCTAGAAACTCTAGAAAAGAAGATAATACTGTACTAGTCTACTTTTAAAAGTGTGTTTCTATTGGGAGGTGGATGTGTGGAGAACTGACATAGAGACAAGGACATGGATGCCCTCATTCTAGTCTCTCAAAAAAGTGAGGAGGGGTCTGGCAGCATGGCTCAGGGGCGGGAAGTTTGCCTGACCTGTGAAGCCTTGGGCTCCCTTCCCAGCACCACACACACACACAAGTCAGTCAGACTTTTGACCTTGGTGCAGTAGTCGTTCTTCTGCATTTGATATAATATAAAATTATGTCATCACTTATGTTCCTCCTCTTAAGTTTCTTTGGTCTCTTGGGTGTTGGTAAGCTGCCAAGGCACATGGTAACTGAAGCCCCTGAAGAACCTGGAACAGCCTGGCAAGGACACTGGGCAGGTGTGCTCCACAGAGACCACCTGTCACAGGGCCAGGCCTTCACCGACCAACTGAGACCCTGGAGTCACCTTTGCTTTTGCTTCAGAGAAGGATATATTCAGGACTATGCTTTTTAGAGGAAAATAAAATATTTCCTGGTCTCAAAAGAAAATGAATAGTCTCCTTATGCAACAAAAAGTTGAGTTTGGTCCAGCCGATGAACTCTGCATTTTACCTTACAACCCAAAGAAGATTTAAGTAGTCCTGTTTCAATTATGCTGTCAGATCATGGATTAGCTGCAGTGTAGTTCATCAGTATGCCACATTTGTTGTCTTCTCCAGAGATCATGTCAGTGATGAAACAGTTTAACCCAGGATGGCCGCATCTTGACATTACTGACACTTTGAACTAGATAATTCCTTCTCGTAGGGGCTGGTTTATGCATTATAGGCTACAGTAGCATCCCTAGCCTCTACTACTAAATGCTAGTGGCATGACACCCCAGTCACAAAAGTCAAAACTATCTCCTGAAAGCAAGGCACACTGGTGTTTGCCTGGGATCCCAGCTACTCAGGAGGGGAGGATCACTTGAGTCTGGTAGTTTCAGATCTGCCTGAGCAACATAGTGAGGACCTTAAAAAACCAAAGTCTCCCAACATTGGGGTGGGGGCAGTTCACCCCATGTGAGACCGAGTAACGTAGAGTCTCTCATGTTGCCTGACACTTGTAAAATATTAGCACCCGTGGTCACTGCCTCTTGTCTGTTCTTTTAGGTACTAATACTTTCTCTATTTTAAATAGAAATCTTACTAAAGTGTATTATAAGCTATCATGGTTCTTTAAATATAACAAATATTATAAGCCTCTTCTAACTGATGTCTTTCTAAGCATCACTTTTATACTATGCTGTAATTTTTTAAAATAGAACTTTGGGTGATCTAAAACAATTCATTTGGTCAAAAATCCTTCAGTTCTGAGTTTGCTTGGTTGTGACTTCTCTTTATATAAACTTTTCTCAGTCACCTTTCCCAGCTGTGCTTTTCAAATGCTGTCAGCTACAAGCCGCAAGAGCTGGAAGTTGCTAAGGAAACCAAATACTCATATTGTTAGATTGGAAGACTCTTACAAGCACTTTTTTAATTGATAGACTTTGGCCCCAAGCAGTTATATACCTCTCCTAAAAGATTAAGTGCTTAGGTTTTGAAAGGGATTGTTAGTTTAAAATCTTTTCAGTTTTGGGCCAGGGATTTAGCTCAGTGGTTTCGCCGCCTGCTGCACAAGCGCAAGGACCCAAGTTCGATATCCGGTACCAAAAAAAAAAAAAAAAAAAATCTTTTCACTTTTGATCTGCCCTTGGCTGTATGTTTTACTTGTATCAAAAGGTAGAAGACATTTAGAAACTCAGTACCAGATAAATAGGGCATTTCAGAGAAGTTAGTAGGATGAAAGAGGAATTTTTATCTTACCTCCCGTCTCTTAACATTAACATTTAACATTAGCCAAATAATACAGTTTGTCTCTTACTGAATGTCTCCCAGCGTTGCAGTCATGACCCCTCTGCCTGTGAGCCATGTCCACAAAAGGTTGTCCTTTCTTTACAAAGATGCAGCAGACAGTTTTCTTAGTTATACAGTGAATTGTGGTTTTCCCTTGTACCATTTTTGGGAGATCAGCTTGTCCTTTTGTGAAAAATCTTTTAGGTTAAAGAAGAAAATTTAGATGGGCAGGGAAATGAGAAGAAACCATATGAATAAAACTTTTTGAAGTCTTTGCAATGGAGTGTTAAACATTCACAAGTTTAGGGCCGGGGATTTAGCTTGGTGGTACCTCGCCTGCCTTGCAAGTGCAAGGTCCTGAATTCGATCCCTGATACCAAAAAAACCATATTCATGAGTTTATGAAAGAACTTCTTATTCTTACAGCTATTCTTAATCTGGAAATATTTTGCAGCCAAATCTGCCGTGTACTGACAATGTAGCATTTGATATGGAAAGGCTTACCAGAACCCAGGCAGTTAACCGGAGATCAGCCCTCGGTGACCTTGCCAGTGACAACGCCCTTGGCCTTGAGCCACTGCGAACTTCCGGGATCTCACCTCTTCCTCAGGATGGGGAGCTCACCCCCAGAGCGGGAGAAATCAACATTGCAGTAACGAGTAAGTAGCCCCAGGCACCAGGCAGCATCTCTGCTTCTGTTGGGCATGCGGCAACTGTCAAGACTGGGGCCAGCAGCTCTGAAACTGAGAAAGGAATGGACACTTGCATCAGGACGGGTGTTTGGAATCACAGAGCTTTCTGTGTCATAAGGGGCTGCTGTACTGGTGTTTCATTGATAGGAATAACTGTCCTTGATGAGCAGTCATCAGAGGTTTGTCTCTGTAACTGTTTTATAAGCTCGTTTTGAAATCACTGCATTGCAGACCGGCCTTTTAAAGGGAGACATGGCATGTGGTGGAGGCCGCAGCGGCGCTGGCATGTTGCGTAACTGAGCGCTGGTGCTGCCCTTCTCCCAGGCTGCAGGCAGCTCCCTAGAATTTTAACCTACAAAGTCTCAGCTGCGGGACAGTTGAGATGGCCTGTCATTGCTCACTTTGTTTCATACTTTCTAAGGAAGTTCGGTGTCTTGGTACTTAACTCTTTGGTATAATTGTACATGAGATGGGAGAAAAGCCAAAGTGGAACCTGGCTTTGAAGAACAGTGTTACGAGCTAGTTATGAACATCTTGATTGTGGAGCTGTTGACAAGCAGAAAAGAACTGCAGCAAGGTTTTTGAGGCTGGTGCCCATGGACAGTGTGAGTGGGCCAAGGCGTGCGTGGCCAGCAGGGTGCTTGGCCAGCAGCGTGTGTGGGCGTCGTAGGCATTCACTCCGCCTAAAGTCAGCTTCTTCTCTCCAGCTCCATTCTGTACATGCAGTCTCCATCTAACAACCTCTCACCTTGTTGCCGCTCTGGTTCTGCCTTTTCCAGTTTATGCTATTGCTTGCCTCGAGCTTCAAGCCCTCAAGCTGATGGGACTCCACTTACCACTGGGAGTCAGTAAAACCGGGAATAGTAGGTTTATAAAATAGTTTTCTCTTACATATTAATATTCATGTGGTCTGCTCAATTGAAGTATGTGCTTTTAACCACCCAGAGATTATCCTTAGAAAATGATTTCCCATGTGTTACTTTATCTGTTGTCTGAACTCCAAGAGCCTCCATTCAGTTATACATAAAACTATTCTTTGCTAGTTTGGCTCATTTCTTACTATTTGATGATTTTTTTCAACACCATTTCTCAGTTTTCTTACTTTGGCATTTAGATTTTGTGGTCTACATTTTAAAAAATTGATCCTTGTAGTAGTAAAGGAGACAAAGGTTGTTTGTTTATTAATGAGTTCTTGTAAATCCTTCATTGATCATACATTTATTGAGCACCTACTACTACATTAAGTACAGACTTATATTTTATGTAGAAATGTTCTTTGCAAATCTTACATTTTTGATGATAAAGAAATATTACTTCATGTACCAAATTAATCACCTTGAGAAAAATTTACACATGATGCCATAAATAAAATTCATAGGATTAAACTAGACCCAAACTACTTCTCCTTTCCCCTCCAAGCCCCCATAGCTCCATAGCAACTATGATGCATTCAGCCAGCACCCACTGTGTGCAAGGCACTGTGCTAAATAAGCAGCGGAGGACAGAGGTGACCGAGGCCCCAGCTGTGCGGATCACTGTAAACAGGCTTGGGCCTGTTGAGTATTCCTGTGATGGTGTTTCCTTCTCTTTGAATACTAGTTTTTATGAGTAAAATGACCAATACACACATGTATGTGTATTCGGAATTCAGAAATGTAATTGAAGTTCCAAGTGTTAGTCGTCTTATGTGTAAAAGGATCTGAGAAGGGCTGGGGTATAGTTCAGTTGTAGTGTACGTGCTTAATACATATCAGGCCCTGGGTTAAGTCCCAAGCACTAAAAAAAAAAAAAAGAAAGAAAAAAAATCTCTAAGAAGAAAATGCTGTGTTAGTCTCCTTGATGTTAATAACCATTCCTTCACATCTTGATTTTTGTTTTTAAATGCCTATATACATTTTTAACCTAAAATATATACATATTAAAATGATGGATTTTGTATGGGTTCTTGAACGTTCAATTTGACGTAAAAAACTTCACTCTAAGGATGAGGCAGCTGCACTGAAGAGTTTGCTAAGCATTTTGATAATATAAACTAATTGGGGCAGAGATGCTCACATAGAACAAACTCAGCATGCTGGGATCTCAAGGAGCAGTTCTTAACCTTTAAAATCTAAGTACAGTGAATATTTTCAAGAAAAATGCCTGTACACACACAGTTTTGCATGCAGCTTTAGAATTCATGAAACACAGAGTAAGAAATACCCATGTGGGGCTGAGGATTTAGCTCAGTGGCACCGCATCTGCCTGGTAGGTGCAAGGTTCTGATTTTGATCCCTGGTACCCCCCCAAAAAAGAAAGAAAGAAATACCCATGTGCCAGGCAGAGTAGGGCATGCCTGTAATCCTAGCCACTCAGGAGCCTGAGGCAGGAAGATCACAAGATCCAGGCCAATCTGGGCACCCTGGCAAGAAAGACCCTGTCTCAAAATTTTTTTAAAAAGTGATGGGCTCTAACTCAGTGGTGGAGCGGCCCCTGGGTTCAATCCTCAGTACCACCCTCGAAAAGAAGCCATGTTATATGCAACTTTTGCATCTAAACATTTGGTGTTCCAAGTGTAAATATTTCTTCTCTGCCCTCTTACAGATTTAGGGGGGATTTTAATGAGTAGCAATTTGTTAAACCACCCCTAGTTAGTGTGTACTATGAGAAATATTTTATAGTCTAGACTTTTTAGGAAGTCAGATTGGTTCTTGAGTTTAGAAGTTCTTGATAAATACTGTTTTTTTAATATGTTATCTTAACTGAAAAGGGAAAATAGTAACTAAATTCCTGGGTGGAGACAGAGACGTTAGGTAAAAGGCCTTAGGGTTCTGTGCACAGAGGTTTTCAGCTCTTGGATGGCCAAGACCTTGTCAGTCATCTTCCCTTCTGCTTCTCCATGAAGCCGTCCCAACCAGTGTTGCTTGCCGGCAGTGGGGTCCTGAAGGGTGTTGCCTGTTTTCTTCAGACACCAGTGAGATGTCCTTTTAATGTAAATACTCCAGCCCATAAGAGAAGAGAACGTAGACATGAATGCTGTGGAAGGCCAGCTTGCAGACTGCTTGGAATACCCACAAGACCTTTGGGAGCCACTACTCCATATTGCTGAGCCTTTATCTAAGAACAAGTGATGCAGCCATACAGAAACAACAAAATGAAGCTTGAAAAATGGTTGTAATTATGATTACTCTACTGTCATTTAAATTACATTAAATGAAGATATCAACGTCCATGTGCAGTTTTATATACACATTTTTTCTATGCACTTTTTGGTGGCCACATACCTCACGACCTAAACTGGAAGAAATCGTTGGGCCATGCTTTCCTTTGTCCCTTGCAGCTTCTACCAGTACTGCCACTAACCTTCTCCAGTTAGTAGCTCTCTGGCAAACCTCCTCCTGCTTCACTTCCTTGAGCCAGTTTTGGCTTACACCTCCGTGACGTCTGCTTCGTTGCATTTGAGGGAAATGTTGACATCGATTTGACTTAAACCTTCTCCTTAGAGTGATTTCCTCCCTTTCCTTTATCAACAGAAGAATGGTTTATTATTGCCAGTTTTGGCCTCCTCAGTGCTCTCACACTCTGCTACATGATCATCAGAGCCACAGCTAGCTTGAATGCTAATGAGTAAGTAACAAATTATTTTTTGGATTGCATGTCCCAGATGATCCCCAAAAAAGATGTAGAATAATTTTCATAAAAGAGATGAGAATTGGCTTCCCACCTGCTTGATACTGATCCTAATGGGATCATAGCTAGCAAAGGAACTTATTTCATGAATATGTATTTCTAGTCAGTTACACAGATTGGGAGTTCACCTTGTTCAGCAAATACCAAGGGAACCAGTGCAGTCATGGTGTGTAAACAGTGTCAGCATCCTCATCGTCGACAGGTAGGCTAGTCAGACTTTACCTGGAGTCTTAGCTCTGGGGGGACACCAGCACCCTTAACTACATCAAGGACAGTGATTTGGATGTTTAGCGTGCAGGAAGGAACTGTCAGAAGACCTGCTGTTTCTAAATGTCAACAAAAACTTAAGAAGGGAAAATCAGTATGAACTATCTTTAAGGGACAGAACGAGGGACAAAGAGTAGGTTAGGGGAAGGCAAATTTCACCAGAGTAAAAGGAAGAACATCGGTCAGTTAGATGCCTTCATGATGGTATGGTTTGCTGCAGGGAGTTCTCAGGGCTAGGAATGCAGGTGGAAGCTGAGTGTACTGGTAGGGGCTGCTGGAGGGAGATACTCTTTGGAGGATGGAAAATTGGATTAGATGACTGTTATGGTCCATTTTTTAAAGGAATATAAAACTATTTATTGACCACTGCTCACCATTATTTACAATACAGTAAACTATACAGTAGGATAACTTTCTGACTATTACAAAGTTATTTTCCTGGCTTCTGCTGAAACAGTAACCTAAATACTGAAAAGGTTGAGCCTACATGTAAAGAACAAGTTGTTGTCAGGAAAACATGCAGGTTAATAGTTTGGGCTACACAAGTTTGCTCACTCATTTACTCTAGCAGATCTTAAATTGTGAACACCTCTACCAACAACATCTCTAGTCAAATAAATTAACCATTAAGTGGACCCTTGACTTACGGACTTGGTTCTAAGTCAGAACAGCTAAGACCTAGGTGTTTCCCTGGGTACATGCTATAGATAACAAGAGGCAGATGAATCTTCCGTTAACCTAATTAACCCAAGCTGTTCGTATGTCAGGCCAGTTGTAACTTGAGGGTCCACTGTACCTGGTTTGTTTGAATTAGCTGAGCAAGACTTGTTAAGATTCCTAATGACCCATTCCCTTACATAAGTTGATTTTCCAAAAGCAGCTTCCCACAGCATTAAGATACAGGAAAGGGTTTTTGGGTTGGTTTGGTTTTAAATTTTGGGCCTTTTCTTTTTAATCCTTTCTTTTACTAGTGTTCGTAAAAACTAATTAGAGATGAAAGCAGCAGCAGGGAACTGCCCGTATTTGAACCA